ATATATATATATATATATATATATTTGTTTTCTGAGGTTCTCGCGGGTATTTGTATGTGGATCTTTGGTTGTTCGGGTTTTCTCCCGCGTAAGATTCGAAGTATCTAGGCAACGTTTCGATGAAGTCTCATTCATCATCTTCAGGCTTCTGTCTTCGGCTCTGTGCTTCTCAGAGTAATGTGAGATTGCAGCTGCTTCTGCCTTTTAATTAAGCTGCAATCTCACATTGCACATATTGCAATCTCAATACCCGCGAGAACCTCAGAAAACATACATACATACATATATATATATGCAGGCAGGCAGGCAGGCAGGCAGGCAGGCAGGCAGGTAGGTAGGTTGGTTGGTCGGTCGGTCTAGGTGTGTTCAGGTGCCAAAAGCACCAGCCTGAGGATGGCAATGGGACCTCGTCGAAACGTCGCCAAGATACTCTTAATCTTACACGGGAAAAGACCCAAACACACCTAGACCTACATACATACATACATACGATCATAATGGCAATGATGATGTTGATAATACCTTGGATATCTAGAGAGTACACTGCTCATCATAAAAAGGAAATATATGACATAAAACAATAAAACAATATTTTTTTAAAAAAAAGTGAGGCATGTCCGGTCCTCGCACTTATGACCATTGCAACATTCCCATGGTCTCATGATCAGAGTATGGGCTCTTGGCAACTCACGCTCAACGAAAACCAATCCCAGTAGTCCTTGGCTTATGACGACAAAGGAATCCAAGATTGATGTTGTCAGGTGAGACATTGGTTCAGTGAGTTTTGCCCCATTTCACAACCTTCCTTGCTACCGTTAAGCGAATCCGCAGTAAAGTGAGCCACCCGGTCATTAAGTAAATCTGGCTTCGCCCTTGGAGGTTGCCAAGGGGGAATCACGTGACCCCACCCAGGATGCTGCAGCCGTCATAAATAAGAGTCAGTGGCCGAGCGTCTGAATTTTGATGATGTCACCATGGGGATAGTGCAACAGTCGTAAGTGTGAAAAACGGTCATCAGTCAGTTTTTGCAGTGCTGTTGTAACTTGGAACGGTCACTAAACGAAAAGGACTGCCAGAATGAAAGCCTTAAGATTAAAACCATGCCAGGAGCAGACATAGAGAGAGCTAAAATAATTGTAAAGAATTGTCTTTTTTTAAAGGTGCCATTTTGTGGCCTCCTCCTTCGTTTCTGGAGTGGAATCTCCATACTTCGGAATAAATCCAGCCTGGAAATAATTAATCTTAGAGTTGAAATTAGCACCTAGTTCAGTATAGTGCACTAGGTAGTAGATATGGGTTTTTCTTCACCTTGCGTTAATGTCCTAAGAGGCATGTCAAAATTAAACACAAGCATTTCCTAGGCCAGTGAGGGTAACCTTTTTGGGCTCCTGAAATTGTGCCGAAAATTGTGCGCGTGTTTGCACGCGCGCACTCCCCTGCCAGTACCCAGAAGGCAGTGCGCGCCCCCCCCCGCCCCCCACCCCTGAGTGCCCCATCCCCCCCCCCCCACCCCTCCCCCCCCGCCCCCCTACCTGTACTGCGCCTCACAGCTGATTTTCCGCCAGTTTGAGGACTTTTTTAGTATCCAAGAGGCTTGAGGAAGGCTTCTGCAGGCTTTGCAGGCTGAAAATTAGGCCCGTTTCATCACTACTGGTATTTTCTGAAAAACAGGAAATGACGAAACGGGGCTGGTTTTCGGCCTGTAAAGCTGCGGGAGCCTTCCTCAAGCCTTTGGGAGGCCGAAAAAGGTCTCAAACCTGCCGAAAATCAGCTGTGAAGCGCACACATGTACAGTGAGGTAAGTTTGCTTACAGCTCGTGTGTCAGCACAAATGGCTCTGCGTGCCACCTGTGGTTCTAGGCTATGGTTCTAAGCTATGGCTAGGAGAACATATCTAAAATAGGTAAAGTGGCATATAGATTTCCTTCTGCTTCTCCTCCTCCTGTTGTTTTCTAGTTATTTACAAGGGCAAACTATTTGCACATAAATAAGGAGAAAAAAATCACATTCCATTGTAGCACTGAGGATGTTACCTAGTTGGGTCGTGAAATGTCTGCAAGGAAACAACCAAGCACAGAGAGCACTAAGGATCCCTCCTCCTCCTCTTCCTCTTCCTCCTCTTCCTCCTCCTCCCCTCAAACCCACTCCTTTCTGGCACTGAGGATGTTACCTAGTTGGGTAAGGAAACGTCTGCAAGAACAGTATTTAGTTTTTAAAATAAATTCCATTGAACTTATAATAATGTAGTATATACAAAAGTAAAGTAAAAAGGGTAGGGGAATTGGAAAGGATAAGAAAGGAAGAGAAATACAAGATAAAGGTGGAAAGAAAAATAGATTTAAAAAATAGATAAATGTCAGTGCAGTGAAATGCAGAATAAAATTACGACCTCAACTTTTTTTCCTTTTACATCCTTGCCTATAACAACAAACTCCAGGTAGTCTTTGACTTATAACCATTCGTTTAGGGAGCGTTCAAACTTATAACAGCACTGAAAAATGTGACTTACAACTGTTTTTCATACTTATGACCATTGCAGCATCCCTCTGCTCAGGTGGTCAAAATTCAGACCATTGGCAATGGGCTCGTATTTATGACTGTGGCAGCGTCCTGCAATCAGTGTCCTGCAACCAATTTTGGGCTCAACTGCAGTAGTAATCCAAGGACTCTAGCCGAATCGATCAAACCAAGACTCAAAAAGTGCATTTATTGTTCAAATAGCTGGGTAGCCTTGCTAGTGAAACTATGAAACATAGTGAAACTATGTGGTTGGGCTTAGTTTTGGGGAAGGAAAATAAGGGTGTGTGTGGAGAAATCTGCCTCTGCCTACCAGCATCCTTCGGTATTCCTCTGGCTAGCATCCCTATCAGTGTGTGAGAGAGTTGAGGACTGTTTGGAAACTGAAACAGTATTTGCTGTGTGAGCAAGAAGGAGACAGCAAGGAGCCTGGGCGTGGCTTAGCTCAACTGTTCTGTACTATAACTGCTTGGTGCTGTGAAACTAAAACTAAAACTCCTCTCCTCTGCTTGTGTTTTGCATTTGGAACAGGTGGGGAGGGGGAGTAGAACTCTTTAGCATCAGAGCATGTTAATAATAATAATAATATACAAAATATTAATGCTTTGAGGGTCATTTCAAAAAATCCTTTTTTAGTGAGCACCTAAGAAGTCAAGAGGAACATAGTGCCAAATTTTAAGTTTGTAGGCTTTACGGTTCTGGGGAATTTGTGATGATGAGTGAGTGGTCTTTCGCTTTGATATAGAGAGATTTTTGGAGACGGGCAGAAGCTGTTTCCAAGCTAAAACAAAACCAGGTCTGTTCTTTTCTTGAATTAAAAAGCAGTCCATGTTGCCATTTCTGGCCCAACTTTTAAAGTTGTGTACTTTTGACTGAGAGAGAGAGTGTGTGTCCTCCCGCACACCCTTCCTTTTAAAAAGGGCAGAGAGGCACGTTTCCAACTCAAAATCCTGTTTGGCCACTTGCTTTTGCAGAACAACGAAAATAAATCCTGGCAGGCAAATTCTCTTGAAAACGAACCAGATTAGAATTTGGAAAGCACAGGCCTGCGTTTTCTGAGCTCAAGGAAGCTTTCTTTTCAGGATCCACCTGTGAAAAGCAGGATTTACGCCGCAAGAAAGAAAGGTGAATGGGCAAAGCTAAGTAGATGAGGAATTCTGGGAGCTGAAATCCACAAGTCTTAAGAGCGGCCACGGTTGGAGACCCCTGAGCTAAGGACACCCCCAACCCAAGCGGAGGCGGGTCCCAGCTGGGAGTGTCTGACCCGGAGGATTGTCAAAGTTAGTCCGGTTTGAAGAGGTCCACACGGGGCTGCCCTTGGAGACTGGCTCAGGGGGTGCGAAATACAGTACAAATAAAGGAGAATTTTTGTAACTCGGGGGTTGAGCGGAGAGGTCTTTGATGGGGTCTGAGCTCGTTGGTTTTCCTTTCAGAAGTAACATCATCAGTGCTAGAAGGAAACGGGGGGATTGGAGAAGGGGGGAGGAAGAGGAGGAGGAGGACAGGGGGCTCCTTGGTGCTCTGCGAGGTTGGTTGTTTTCTTGCAGACGTTTCGTGACCCAGTTAGGTAGCATCTTTGGTGCTACTGATGTTAGGGTTGGCATGGGGAAAGGCCGCTCTCTTCTAGCGCTGATGATGTTACCTAGTTGGGTCATGAAGCGTCTGCAAGAAAACGACCAAATTTAGAGAGCACCAAGCTGGTTCATGAAATGTTTGCAAGGAAACAACCAACCAAAGACCCCACAGTCCTCCTCCTCTTCCTCCTCCTCACAAACCCCAATCCTTTTTAGCACTGATAATGTTAGATAGTTGGGTCATGAAACATCTGAAAACAAACCAGAAAACTCAGCACTAAGGACCACACAGTTGTAGTCCTCCCTCCTCCTCCTCCTCCTCCCTCCTCCTCCTCCTCCTCCTCCCCCTCCTCCTCCTGCTCCTCCCTCTTCTTCCTGCTCTTCCAGTCACCCGTCTATTGAGTTGCAAAGTTGTGCTTAATAAATGGGCTCCTCGTTGCTCACTGAGTTTGGTGGTTTTCCTGCAGACTTTTTCTTATTAAACTGGATAGCTGGATTAGTGCACTGATAAAGTTACCTGGTGGGGTAATGAAATGTCTGCAGGAAAAAAAAACAAAGGGCCCCATAGTCGTCCTCCTCCTCCATCTCCTCCCTCCTTCCATCTTCCTCGTCTCTCCTCCTCCTTCTCTTCTTCTTCCCCTTTCCCTTCTTCATCTTCTTCACAAGCCCCTCCCTTCTATCACTGATGATATTACCTAGCTGGTTCATGAAATGTTTGCAAGAAATCCCCCAAGCTTGGAAAGCACCAAGGACCCCACAGTCCTCCTCCTCCTCATAATAGCCCCCCCCTTCCTCCTCCCCTCCTCCTCCTCCTCCTCCTCCCTCCTCTTCCTCTTCTTCCTCTTCCTCCTCCTCCTCCCTCCTCTTCCCCTCCCCCTTCTCCTCCTCCACAAACCCCACTTCCTTGTAGCATTGATGATATTACCTAGCTTTTTCATGAAATGTTTGCAAGGAAACCACCAAACTTTGAAAGCACCAAGAAGCCCACAGTTCTCTTCCTCCTCCCTCCCTTCTAGCACTGATGAAGTTACCTAGTTGGGCAATGAAACGTCTGCAACAAAACCACCCAGCTCAGAGAGCACCAAGGACCCCCACCGTTCAACCCTGAGCTACAAATATTTTCCTTTATTGTGATAAATAAATTCCTGTAACAAATACACCCCACTTTTGTCCCCTTTACCAAACATCGCATGACGATTCTGCCTCCTTGGCGTTATTTCTCGGGACTCGAGAACCAAGAGGCTCAATCAAGAGGCCTTATTAAGACTTCAGCGATACTCAGCTAAACGTGATAATCCATTTTGGAAGTCAAGTTAACAAAAGCTGCCCTCTTAGACTGTATGCATGAAAATCTGCGTTGTGTGTTTACAGTGAGGGATAAACATCGAAGCCAGATCTAGGCTGGGTCAGCTTAGTTCTTAACTGAATTAAATCAGCCTTTGATTAAATCAGCCCAATAAGTCTTTGCTGCCTTGAATATGCAAAATTTATGGCAGGAAAAGCCTGTTTTCTTTCTATCCTTTGGAGTGGGATTTTCCCCTCCCAAAATGTTTTCCTTCTCACTCGCTCTCTTTTTTAATTAGTGTAGTAGTATATCATAACAGAGGAACAGTGACAAGGCAGCAATGTCGGTACAGTGAAAAATTATGGTGATTATCCCAAAGTCACCCAGCTGGCTTTCCTGCCTAAGGCGGGGCTAGAACTCACTTCCACCTAGTGATTGGCCCAGAGTCGCCCAGCCATCTTTCGTACATAAGGAGAGACTAGAACTCACCGTCTCCTGGTGTTTGGCCCAAAGTCACCCAGCCATTTTTCGTGCCTAAGGCAGGACTAAAACTCACTGTCACCTGGTGTTTGATCCAAAGTCACCATCCGGCTTTCATGCCTAAGGTGGGTCTATAATTCACCGTCTCCTGGTGTTTGGCCCAAAGTCAACCAGTTGTCTTTCTTGCATAAGGCGGGAGTAGAACTCACCGTCTCTTGGTCATTGGCCCAACGTCACCCAGCTGGCTTTCGTGCCTAAGGTGGGTCTATAATTCACCGTCTCCTGGTGTTTGGCTCAAAGTCAACCAGTTGTCTGTCTTGCATAAGGCGGGACTAGAACTCACCGTCTCTTGGTCATTGGCCCAACGTCACCCAGCTGGCTTTCGTGCCTAAGGTGGGACTATAATTCACCGTCTCCTGGTTATTGGCCCAAATTCGCTCAGCAGACTTCTGTGCCTACGGCGGGACTAGAACTCACCATCTCCTGGTGATTGGCCCAAAGTCACCCAGCCATCTTTCGCGCCTAAGGCAGGATTGGAACTCACAGTCTCCCGATTTCTAACTTGATACCTTAACCACCAGACCAAACTGCCTCTCTCTCCTTTTGAATGCTGCTAAACGTATGATTGCACCTCAATGTTTAAATACAAAAGCAATTCAGAAATGGGCAACTACCTCCTGATATGGTGACATTTTGGGTTTGTTTTTGGTTTTTTTTCATCCAGAGGCAGATTATGTTGCAGTCAGAAATCACTTTATGGAAGCTCGGCCTCGTCTTCCGGCCATGTTCATTGCGACCCCAAAAGACCAGAAACAATCGGTGTGGACCAGAGAGAAGCCATCACCTCAGGTATGTCACACTGTGGCCACCTTACCTGGGCAGTATCTTCCCTTCTCTACTTCTCATTGCGGAATCAGGTCAGCTGTTTGGACATTTCCGTTGGCAGCGATGAATGAAAGGTCCAGTTTCCAGGCCTGTCTTTCATTTGGCCAAAGTGTCTGGGTTCCAGCGATTGCCCTAATTAAATCATGAGCCTCAAGCCAAGCTTCAAAAGGATCCAAAAGATTTATTAAGAGCAACATGTCCCATATGTAGCCCACTCTATCACACATAATTTATGGCCACCTGTGACCCTCTTTCCCCCTCCTTCCTGGATGTGTCATAAATCGGATTCTCCAACAAGGCTGGGTGTCATCAATCAGATTCTCCAATGAAGGAATTTTGTGGGCAGAAGATTACAGCCTAGGTTACAATCTTTGTAAGATAAGCGTGGAATGTACTTCTGTTTTTCCCTCTTCCTGCTTACGGCAACTCGGAAGCAGGCATAGGAATGCTTTACGAGTTGACACAAAGTCTGTTGGGCAAATCATCTCTTGGTCTCGCTTGGTTGCCAGAGAACTGAAGTGAAGTCTCATTGCCCACTCAGCTTTGCGGGGTCCTTGGTGCTCTCTGAGCTTGGTGGTTTTCTTGCAGACATCTCATGACCCAACTAGGTAACATCATCAGTGCTAGAAGGAGTTGGGGAGGAAGAGGACAACCTTAGTACTTTTTGAGCTTGGTGGTTTTCTTACAGACATTTCATGACCCAACTAGGTCACATCATCAGTGCTAGAAGGAGTTGGGGAGGAAGAGGACAACCTTAGTACTTTTTGAGCTTGGTGGTTTTCTTGAAGACATTTCATGACCCAACTAGGTAACATCATCAGTGCTAGAAGGAGTTGGGGAGGAAGAGGACAACCTTAGTACTTTTTGAGCTTGGTGGTTTTCTTGAAGACATTTCATGACCCAACTAGGTCATATCATCAGTGCTAGAGGAGAGAGGAGTTTGTGGAGAGGAGGAGGACTGTGGGGTCCTTGGTGCTTTTTGAGCTTGGTGATTTTCTTGCAAACATCTCATGACCCAACTAGGTAACATCATCAGTGCTAGAAGGGAGTGAAGACTGTGGAGTGGAAGAGAAGAAGTGGGGGAGGAGGACCATGGATTCTGATGCTCTCTTTTCTTGAGGACGTTTCACTACCGAACTATGTAACATCATCAGGGGCTAGAAGGGAATGGGGTTTGCTCTAGGTTTATGTAGTAGTGGCTTGCCGTGTTGGTGGAGAACGCCTTGGTAGTTCCTTAATTAGGCTGTTATTTATTGAGTTGGTCATCAACTAAAAACCGCAAGCCCCACTCCCGTCTTGCACTGATGCTGTTACCTAGTTGGGTCATGAAACGTCTGCCAGAAAACCTCCAAGCTCGGAGAACATCAGGGATCCCGCAGTTCAACTCTTGAGCTACAGATATTCTCTTCTGTCACCACTAAGCTTTCAATCCAGCGCTCAGAGCTGAGATAAATACAGATAGTCCTCAGGTTACAACGGTAATTGGGACTGAAATTTCCATCGCCGGGGATGCCAGAAAAGTCATAACTACGAAAAATGGTCCTGTCACTTTTTTCAGTGCCATTGAATGGTCAGTAAATGTGAAAATCGGCTATAAGTCACTTTTTTTCAGTTCTACTCATCCTGCCCGGTTCATCTCATCTTAAAAGCTCTTCCTCTTCCCTTCTCCAGATCCTTCAGCGCCTCCTTGTTCTGGCCCAAGAGGCCCTTCAGGTGTTGGACAAGCAGTTGATGGACCCTCTGGGAACCCAGGACGTGAAGGTGAGTCCTTCAAGCGAAGGCCAGAGGTCCTTTTCCCCAGAGGTGGACCACACCAGGATGGTCGAGTTCCTCGTTTGAAATCCCTTCTTATCGCTTCAGCTGGGGAAATCAGAATGGGGCAACTCCCCATGGCCAACTCATCACAGTCAACTGCCCATGGCCAACTCACCATAGTTAACTCACCATGGCCAACTCCCCAAGGTCAACTCACCACAGCCAATTCACCATAGTTAACTCACCATGGCCAACTCCCCAAGGTCAACTCACTACAGCCAATTCACCATGGTCAGCTCCCCATGGCCAACTCATCACAGCCAATTCAGCATAGTTAACTCACTATAGTCAACTAACTTCCCATGGCCAACACCCTATGGCCAACTCCCCATGGCCAACTC